CGCTCGTAGCCAGGGGCTCCAGAATCCTAATGTCACGCACTCGTTGTTCGTAGCTCGTTAACATCAGGTCGAGACAGGACGAGGTTGAACGTGTTGATATGGGTGTTGGCTGGCATATGTGTTGCGATGCACCAGTTTCAAGCACCAAATCCACGAACTTTGCTTCAACCTCACTATGTCCAGGCATCAAATGCACATCAGGCCATCGTATTCGAGGACAGTTAAAATCGCCCATAAGCAGAAAGTGTGGACGACTCATGTGGGCTTGAAGATGGGGCAGCCAATCCAAACAACGACTCAGGGGACTGCGATAAACTGCGCCCACAAGCAGTTCTCCGCGCCTGAGGCGGATGGAGCATCACAGTAGCTCACACAGGCCATCGTCACTTTGGTAGGTGCTCACAAGTCTCCCACGCAGGGAAGACCGGATGTAAAGTAAGACACCACCGTGGGCATTCTTTAGTCTAGCGCATCGGAAACACGAGTAACCGTTGAGTTCAAGTTCTTGGGTGTATAACTCTGCATGCAGCCATGTCTCTGCGACTCCCACTACGTCTGGCCGCTCAGATGCAACGAAACAACAAAGCTCATCGCGCTTATTCATAATACTGCAAACGTTTGTGAAGGCTACTCGCAGGCCGCAGCGGTAGCCACCGGGCGTGCTTGAAGTGTGAGCAGCCTGTTTATCCTGATTCGCGGATTGTTGAAAACCACCGGAAAATTTACGATACGAAGATTTGTTTCCCCCTCACCAGTGCGTCTTTTCAACTCAATGATGGCAGACTTGAGCCGCTCCCTCTCTAATGGGTCCAGGTCGGGACGAACATGGATCTTCAAACCTTTCAGCCTACTTAGGCGAGACATGATAAGTCTTGAACTGGCTTCGTCCACAAAAGTGATTCTCATAGGCCGATTTTGTTGATCGCCTTGCTTTCCAAGTCGGGTAATCTGCCTCACTTTTACCGAGTCCTCACCAGCGTCGAAGAGTCTATCAATTAGACCCTGTAAAAGCTCGATATCGTGATCGTAGCGCACTTGGGGTGATGGATCACTGGACACCGGTGCGTGAAAGATCACGAGATTATAACGCCTCTGGTCGGACAAGGTTGGCCTTGCAGGGCGAAGTATACTACAAACCTCAAGTGGTTTGGCTAACTGTTGACTTACAGAACGTAAACGCCCAACGTTCCTTCGTAATTTCGTAGTCTGCTTTTTCCACTGGTCTTCAGCACTCAGACTTTCACCTGCTGGGACAACAGTGTCCGGTGGACACAACAAAGGTAAACAATTTAGCCCAGGTGCAACTGGGCTTCTCACAACGGTTGGACTTCGTGTCAGTGAGTTTGCACGGGTAGAGGAGGACAACTGAGCCGAAACCTGAAGGCTCTTCGCGCTAGGTTGTTGGGCCAAACGCACGGAGCTCTTCGCAACGAAACGCTGAGCACTACACGTCGGCTTTACTCTTTCTGGCGGTATCTGATTTTGGCAATTTTCACATATAGTTTGGACGAAATCATGTTGGGTCTCGCGAAGGCGATGAAAATGCTCAACTGCCAATCCAACACATGAAATATGGTATTTAACTTGGCAAAATGCACACGTGAGGGCATTTGCACGGTATCCGACTAGTTTGGAGCAAGTACCACAGGATGACTGCTTCGGCATTGCGAATAATCCGAAAACAAGATGGCGGCCAATTGACGAAGAAAGTGGTGATAGCAAGATCGCCGAAACCAAACGATGAAATACAAGTGTTTCTGGTCGGAAATTTCAGAATCGGAAATGAAACTGAATTGTAGCTCAATTTCCACGAAATACTTCCAATGAACGCAGAAAGTTAACACATAGTGATCTTGTCAACCCAGCCAACACAGCCATCATGCTGGACAATCTTTCGATCGTCCAAACAACCAGGTAGTTAACTGTCTTTTACTTAGGCATTAACGCGTATAACACGCTGAGACTAACGCCGAAATCATCAAATACCATTCACAGTGCCAAAATGTACCTATCACAGCTCAACTGCTGCGTGGCATCTGCATGAAACACGTCGCCGTATTTCCTTACTACAGAAGTAACCGGTGATGAAGCAAAAAATAGGAAGCCCGCCGGCAAACCACCCATGTTTACTCGCACCGCGCCATTCTTATGCAATAAATGTGCAGCCGCATTCACGTTGTTACCTTTAGAGGTGCACCCTAAACGATGCCGGATAGAAAACATGTCCTGTCGACTTAACCGTTTGTTATACTATTCCAATCTAGTGCCTCCCAATTCTCCGGTATTACGGAAAGCTTGCGTCAAACTAAACACCTGCCGCTCCGCTCCGTGAGGCAAGCGCCGGTTACTAACATATAAACTTGGATGCCACAGGTGAAATGTGTGACCACGCACCGGATTATGCGTACCCATCTCATATTAGGTGCCATAAACACTGATGACTGTGCTCCTTCCAAAGCCCAGAGTTGTGTACCCATACACCGCGTATGACACGCAACAATGTCAGCAGTTACCGAGTTTCACTAGTTCCTTTCCTGTTGAACTGCACTTAACAATACTGAACCCATTTGTACCGTATCCCTTAGGGTAGAAGTTGATCTGACTTCTTATATGAGCCAGCCGTAAGATGGCATAGTTTTAAAAATTGGCTGCCGTCTGCACTTGAAGGCGCTTTAAAACTACTTCTATTTCCTCAACCGCCTTACAATAGTGGCAAAATTACCACGGTACGCAACAGTGTCATCCAGTCCTTGCAGCCAATGTAGCGAAACAGAAACAACAGCTGCGCCCGAAAACTAATAATTTTCTATAATTGGCACAAAACTATACACCCTTTCGAAGGTCCCTACAACAATATAACTTTAGTACCACCTTAGCTAGCCTTCACAACGTATTTCGTAACCATCCTTGATAGCGGGCAGCACAGCAAGCAGTACCGCCTCCAAAATACGTTAGTTGTTTCTCATTAGTCCGATGCTCTCCTTGGAGTCTGGTTTCCGGAGCAGCTTCCTTGGGCGTACATTTGAGGGTTTTCTTGTTTTATAGTCTGTTTTCAGGTTGTATGCTTCTACCTTTCGTTAATTTTTTATGTTACAGCGGCAAAAGGCGCAACATGCTGCGCATGAAGTGCGACAGAGTCATTCATCGGTGCATCCACTATGCACGTTGCAAGGCAAATAGTACAGGAATTAGTCGGTTTCAGTACGCAGTTATTACGATTATTCTAAACCTCGCAGTCCACCTGACACTAACTGCAAAGCTCGTGTGAACCACATCCGAATTGCAAGCGTGTCAAACCTCCCAACGTTCTAACCATCTCACAATCACCTAGTTAACCGCTTTCTTTTTGAGCGCACCCGATCAATCACTGTCTAAAGGAGGATGAGTTCAGTCCGTCGTGAACCATTTCCATTACCTTGATCATGCCTGCGTTGGTGTGTCTCTATGAAACTTAGAATAAACTATACATTTGTTTATTACAACCCACCAACACAGTTCGTCGAGTTTCGATTCGGAAAGCACACTAATCGCGACGACGCCCGCAATGTTCGTCCTAAGTTGCGATCAGGCGTGCAGTGCAAGTATATGCTGTTGTTTCTTACTGTCTGAAGTAAACTTGTCACATGTTACCAAATTTGAGGCGGAATACGAGGTCGTGCGCATACGTAGTAAGCGCTCGGCCTCAACAAATGAAATGGTTCCGCCAATTCTTGTGATCTTTGTGTGGACTCCACTCATGGTACTAACCGTATGAAGTAAGAATTGATAACAGCATTACATGTTGCATGAGGCTTCAAACCATGCCCATGTCTATAAGTGACGAAATTGGTTACGGCCGGTCAATATTTCATGCCTTTCTTAGTCGGGAAGACTACGCAGGTTTGCTTAAGTTGTCCGCCTGTGTTCCTGATATTATGGATCATGACGTCCGCTTCAACACAAGTATGATGAATAACATGGCTGCGCAAATGCCGGCAGAGCGCACGGTTTTTAGTGCGACATACTAGTGCGTTGTTTTTACATCCGCTGGGCCACCAGGATGCATGTGCGTGCAAAACTTTCGTTACATGCTGTAGCTCCACATTAACCGGTGGCGTTATAAAGTTCATCGCATGACAACTTTGGACACAGAGTTTGAGTACCATCGCTTATAATATGTAATGTTTTGTTTTAGATTTCAACAAGCTTTACAGATCCTTTAACGAACAGACCTGAGGTTTGCGCGCTACCTCATGTCGCGCTGGTGGTAAATAAATTTGCTCGCTGTAGAAACACGCCTAAGCTGGATATTGAGTTGAGTGCGTCAACTTAAGAATGAAGAAAGTGACATATACATCGGACCGCCTTGCTGTGAACTTTCGCAAAGTCCGTGAGCCTTCATAAGTTCTTGGGATAGAGTTTCAGGTGATTGCAGCATAATTCTGTGACAAACAATGGCTACCAGAATTCAGCACATAGTTCATCTATTATTTTACCTTGTAACTACGTACGCATGCAACCTAGTGATGAGCCATTTAGTGCAACCCATGTTGCTAGCAGTTTACTCGGATCATAGAGATGGGGTGGTATATTAATAAAAGATACTGATGCCGCCATACTTTGCGATATCACACCAGAACAACGGCGTCATTATCGCTTGCCTATTGAGAACATATGCCAGTCCAAGTTATGAAACCATGTGACTGCCGCGTTTGCATTTAATGTGGGCATACAAGCAGCACACGTGCCCGACGAGTAAGCGGTTGCAGCTGCGTATATCCGTTTACAGACCAAATACCTAGTGGCACTCGCCGGTTGGTGGGCCAGAACCTACCTGCAGAGTTCATGCTGTTGCGGACGTTCAAGGTTCCAGTTATGAAACAAACAGCGTCTAAACTCGCACAGCATTTCGATCGTCCGAGAACTGCTGAAAAGTTTAATCCATGAGGCTTTTTGGAGCTGCCTCAAGTTTCGGCGAGGGACCAACGAATTTAGTTATACTCCGTTTGACAGACAACAAACAAAGAACTAACCACGCTGGCCAAATGTTATTACATCGGTAGAATTATGTTTCATCCGCAGCCTGTCTGTTTTGGGTGGCGCATTTCACTGTACACATACTTGATTACTCTTCCATCCAATGTGCCTGAGTGTGCAACCAGGTGCTGTTGTATGACCCTCCATGCTTCGCAAACGGTATCTGCCCATGATAAAGTGCCTAGCCGTGCTACCAGTAAGAAAGAAAGCTTTTTCATATTTAACTATTGGCCGTTTACCTTCACAGGCTTTTACAGGTACCTTAACCTCATCAAATGGCCTCGCTTACGAAGGTAAGCAGTGATTTAGTTTAACAATTTTTTGCGCAGACAGTTGGGATAAAATTCTTACAGTTCAAGGTACAAGTCAGCCAACTGTAACCAATCACACAATACCTGTAACCGATACTGTTGTTGTTTTCCTTAACGTTCGTCGACAAGTTATCGCAGAAGGCCCGTCCAGTTCCCCGAATGTAAGGATATTTTGGAGAAGGAAATGCCAGAGTAAACTATTCTGTACAAATCAAACTCTTTTCTTTACCTCTTTGTAGCCTACGCATGAATGCAAGCCCATAAAGAAAACACTAAGAAGTAAACATTTGTTCATATAAAAACTTATTAAATTGCTAAGTTCTCTTACCAATATTTCATTTTCGCCGATGAATACGTCTTCGTGTACTGATACATAAGGTAGGGCGTGTGCATCTAAGCCACGCAGTTCTTGAACATAGCTTCACCTTTGCGCGTACTACATTTTGATTTTTACAAAGTACACTCGATATCATACTTTCCGCGCTCATTAGTTATTACTGTCTATCTGACATTCAGTAGCTCATTTGGTGCCAAAGTACTAAGTTCCTGTTGGGTTTCAACGGGCATCAAGCTCCGAGGCTTATTGTCGAATGTTAGCGACTCCATCAATCACACATTTGGTGTCAATGTACCAAGACACAGGTGGGTTGCATAGAACACCAGATTCTGAGGATCGTGGCTAAAATATAGAAATTTGCCTGTGGAAACTTCACGTTAGCTAGTAAGATGACATCAAGTAAAATATTCTGATTAACAGAAGTCATCAGATTTTGGTCCATTTTGAACGAAGTTCAGCTATTCAACTTCGATTCCGGCTCAGCCTGACGGCCACATGATTGCGTAATTATAAGTTGAGGGTTGTGTTCCTCTTCTCCTTGACGCTATTTGCAATCTTGAAAATGCATTGCTGAAATATTATAATAGTGCTTTGGAACAGATGTCGGGTGATCCAAATGTCGTTCATAGGTTGTTCATTTTAACTGCTTGGGGCAAAAGTTAGATCACTCAGTGAGCTCCAACGCTCAACTTAGGGCGCATGTTTCCTTCAATCGTGCGGAATGGACGCATATGACATCAACCCTAAGTGGAAATTAACTTAAGCATTGTAATTATGTAACCGTAAGTGTTGTATTAAACAGGAAAGATACTGCGTGACGGAAACGTGTCCAAAGAATGGCAGATTGGAATGGACAGAAGCACAATAATTTGATACTCAGGGCGCTCAAACGATCGAGCGCGCTGAAGAAAGTAGGGTTCAAAATAAACATCCTAAGCAATGAATGGCGGTTATAAAAATGTAGTCTAGTATGTAACAACCTCTCTACACATATCACACAATGTACCATATTTCTTTATTTTTACGTGCGTGCCCAGGAACACGTTCGGGTGAGACGGTGGACCGTCTAGCTGTGCGAATACCGTGGTAATCTATTAGTACCATTAGCCGGGATACAGTTTCCTCTAATTTTAAAACAAATTTGCGCCTGGCTAAGCTCTTTAAAGGTTGCCGCTCTGATTTATCAACCCGTACGAAAGGCAAAAACTCAAAATGATTCTTAGTGCCTTACTTAATTCTGGATTGCGAGACAAACCTGTTGGCATAATTTGACACCCAACAGTCCAAGACGCGCCTCTCACTGCAATTGATAAGCAGCAAAATAAAGAGGCACATCTTTAAAATTAATGGTAGAAAATTTCTACTTTAGTTACTAACAGTGCATTTTGTTGCCCATGGTTCATGTAAATATAACAACTTGCATTGCGCTCTTTGTTGTTTTTCCATATTTACGTAGACGTCAGCACTCGAGGTAAGGATTGGCGCTGTAACGCTTTGGGGTCTCATTTTTTCTCCAAAAAATGTATAGTCAGTTCACTGATATGTATCTAGGCTGACTCCCGTGCGATGCTTAAAGGACCCCCAAGAGACTCAACTAAGGCTCGTAACGACAAGTTTGTCACATAAAAATGATTTCAGCATCCAGCTTGCAGAATGCCAATGTCTCAAAAGGACTTTAACAACCGCGAATTTGATACGTACACAGCAGGAACCGGGAAATCTATGTTTGTGTGTTAGCGTTAAAATACCCGTCAGTTGCAACAACGAACATACTGGAATTGATATTTTATTCTCCAATCAATTAACAGAGATTGCAAAATTTAGTTGTTCGGTATATCCAAATTATGGAACAAAGATGGGCCCTAAATGTCTTGTGTGCTCGGGTAAGACAAAAAGTTTTGTAGCCATTGAGAGAGAATGAAGGACAAGATAAAAATGCTTGAATCTAAGCAGCTGCTTATGCTAGAATACGTAGCGGATTCTGATGCTGATACAAGAAAGTGCGAATATTTCGCGTTCTTGCTTCATGTTTTGCAAACCCAAGAATAGTTAATCCAACGTCAAAAAGTCGGGGATCGTTGGTTACTTACCGGAGCATGAAACAGGACGCTCGTTAGGCAAAAGCCTCTATCCTTCGTGTTACTATACTTGACTAGACGTGATACCCATACTAGCGTCTTCATTCCATTTCCAACTTAAGATATTATACTCTATTTAACACTTATCACTACCCTGAGTGGATTCTTCTAGTATAGCTTTAATCTTTTTGTTTAGTTTAAGTTCGAGTTCAGTTGGGACCAGAATGATAATATAATTCCGTGAATGTTCCTTCTTTTGCGTACCGTCGGATCGGGAATTGACAAAACTGCCTGCAAGGTTGCAAAGCCAAAAACAAAGACCGCGTCACACTCTATCCAACCAATTACTGCCTGCATTTTCTTGCCCAGCAGTCCTTGTCAGGCCGGTTTATTTGAAGTAAAAGAGTGAAGGGTAAGCTAAGTAAACAAGCGGAATGCCAGCTAACTAATGATAAAACCAAGTTGTGAGAAGAAATATTAAAAATAAGGGAAAGTTGAAGATACGATTCGGTTAGGAAAAGGGGAATGTTTGGGACTGCCACCCAAGGGCATCTAAATGTCGCTTAACACCCACAACCGTGGACTACCTAACGACGTGCTTCGGAAGTGAGGCCTAACGTTCCATAACTCTGCGCGATAAGCGAGTTTACGTCCTTACCCGGTTAGAATGCAGTTTGTTCAGCTTCAGTGAGTGACTTAGGGGACTAGGTAGCTTGGCGGGACTAAATAGCCAGGACAAGTCTGGACCGCTCTTACCCGTTGAGATACGGTACGTGAGGAGCAAATCACCTCTAATTCTCCGGTAGCGCATTGGGTACATACCCAGACTAAGCAAGCGTTCGGGATACATTTGCCCCCGTAATCCTTGCACTAACCTCGTACCCACGCGCAAAACCCTCTCCAGTTTCATTTTGTTCCTTACAACGCCAGATGGACAAGCCCGGATACATCATTCTAAATGGGGTCTCACAAAAGCTGAGAGCAGCTTCACAAGTATATTGGCCCTCAGGACACCGAAAGAGCGGTGGATAAACCACATCACACGGAACCCTCTTTAAGCAGCGTTCCCAAAATTGTCCCCAGAGTGAAGCAATAAAGTGTGTGTGACACCTAGGTCAACCTTCGGAGTAATAACGTGCATTTCACTTTAACTACCTACATAGCACGTGGGCGGTTGCACCTGCAGTGCGGCGAACAGAACATTTCGCTTTATTTATAGGCAAAAGGTTAAGCATAAGATTGACCGATCCCAGGGCCTAGCCAAAGCAATTTGAAGTGCCTCAGAGCCACCAGGGATACCCACAGGTTTTCAGTGGTTGAGATCATCAGAAAATGGGTGACGGTACTAAAAGCCCCTGGGGTAGTTAATTGACAAATTGCAAAAAGCAACGACCCTAAAACCGGACTCTGCGGAAATCCAGTACGAACAGCATATCTAAGCGAAAGGCTACGCCCCACGTGTACACTCCGTTCTCTCCGCTCTAGGAAAACGGCATCCATTTTAGAGAGGCTCCAGATATTCCATACGATCTCAACTACAATGAGGGTCGTTAATGTGTGACAGTATCAAAGGCTTACGAGAAGTCAACGAAAAGCACGCCGATAGCGTGACCGTTGTCTACTGACTCAGCCCAGCTTTCACTAGCTGCAAGTACATTTGTCAGACAAGAAAATCCCTTAAGGAATCCCTGCTGTGCCGCACTGAGAAGCTTAGACTTAAGCTGGTGATTCTCCACCGAATCCCTGACCAAATTTGCAAACAACTTAACTACTGCGCTTGGCAGGCTGACAGGCCGGTAGTTCGCGATGTCTGGTACCGCCCCTAAAACTCGGAAAGATGGTTGCCTCCGTCCATTCCGAAGGTAAAGGACAGCTGGCAAGCGATATTGTGAACATGTATGTCAGATAACCACTTAGCTCAGCAGCCCATCCGTGCAGCAGCTTCGGATGATTTGAATCAGGACCGGAAGCTTTGGAAGGCTCTAGCTCTTGCAATAGCCCGAAGACTTGTGTCGCTGTCATGCTGATGTCAGGTAGGCAAGAATCCTCCGGGATATTTGTGACCAGCTCAACCTGAGGTAGAGAGGCCTTACGAGAAAAGACACCAATGTGCAGTTCGCTAAGTATGCAAGCCTTATCATAGACGGTATGCCCACAGGTACCGTCCACTCGTAGTAAGGCCGGTATAGACGAGATGTAAAGCTGCATCTCTTTATGTTAGCAAAACACTTATTTGGATTTGTTACCGCTGCCTCAGCTAAATCCTTCTCGTACTGAAGTCAAATGGTTATAAGATGTTGCTTACTTTATTTTTAACCGCTCGAGAGCATCTGTAGGTGCTGGTTGTTGAAGCCGCTGGGTAAGTTCGCCAGTGATTAGGGCGCTTCCTGAGCAGGTAATTAACCGTAGGATCTATCCAAGGAGGCTTTGCCCGTGTTAACCGTCTCGTACTGGGTGTGACGTGGAAAAAAGAGATGTCAGTAAAGGAGACCTTAATGTTCTTCCAGGCTGCCGCAACGGTGTCAGCCACAGTGATCGCACAACGCAGAACTGAAGCTTTGTCTCGCATTGCGTTAAAGTCTGCCAGCCAAATATTTGGATATGCCTCAATAGTAAATTGATGAGGCTGTCATAGCACATGGAAAGGATATACGGTTATGGTTACTGGTTCCTAGAGGTCAGCCATTGGTAATATCACTTAGGAAATCGTGCGTCCTCTCAAAAATGAGATCCAAGGTAGACGGAATTTGGTTTATTATGTATCTAGTCAGGAGGTCCAAGAACCGATGCAAAGGCAGCTGCAACATTAGCTCGAGGAGATCCAAACCGAAAGTGCCCATTACCGAGCTGCAAGAT